ATCATCGCACCCGCCCGGCCCGGCCGGGAGCCACCAGCGCCCCTGCCGGCCGTGCCCGGAACTGCAGCCCAGCGGCGCGGGCTCGGCAGGGACACAAGGCTGGCTTTGCCCTTCTGCTTTTGGTTGTTGCTGTTGTTTGCTGCCCTTGATGTATACAGATATACTCTAGGAAATTCCTGTTGTTCCCTTTCCCCTAGCTTTGCATGAAACCCCATAAATTCAAAGTTAAAATTATATGGAGAGAAGAGGGTCGTATTCTCCATTCCAGGGTGGTCTCTGCCTTCCTTGGCAGACACCTGTCTTTTAAACCAGGTCCATCACTGCTGCTCACTTTTGATTGAAAACCCCCAAAGGACCAGGCAGTCATGAGTCAATGCCACTATGGACTCAAGGGAAAGTCCTGCTCCTCACCCTAAACTTCATCTCACTGCACATTCACCCATGGGGGAGCTCAAGGACAGCCAGCTAAGCTGAGCTTTTTGGATTTCAGTAAAGCTTTCGATCCTGCTTCTCGCAGGACCCTGGTGTGTCCCTTCCAACTCAGGCCATTCCATTATTCCATGAGTCTCACCCTAACGGACCTGGCCCTTTCACTGGAAACCTGCCTTTCAGCCTTTGGGGTTTCTGACACCGTCACACAATCCTGAAAACTCTCCCAATCTCAGTTCACTTGGATACTGGAGAGATTTATTCACTGCAAAAAATTCTTCTGACCATTCAGCTTCTGTCCCACCAAGGCCACAATTCCCTTACCAGCACAGGTATTGATCTCAGGGGCTTGGACTCGGGGGTAGGTCCAAGGGCACCTGCAGCCTTCCAGAGCCTTCAGGGGCAGCTTTCCCTGGGGAGTTCCTGCCAATTTGGGCAATCTGTGCAAGGCCTGTGGGCTCTGATTCCCCTCACCCACCTCGCAGCAGATGCTCCCCTTGCTCCCAGCCTTGGCTTCCCAGCAGACACCGGCAGCCGAGGGCCCCAGCTCAGGGGACACAGCACAGCACAGCGGCACGCCTGGGGCACACGGTGGGGTGTGGAGAAGGTGATGGGAAGCCCTGGAGAACGCAGGAGGAATCAGGAAGGAAAGGCCTGAAATCCTAGAGGAGAAGAGCAGACAGTCAGGAGAAGGCAAGCCATGAGCACACAGGATTCATTCCAGGGAGCACTGGAGGCCAACCCTTCTCCTCCACTGGACACTGCCCAGGCAGCAAAGACTCCTCAGGGCTCTTGTGGGGAGGTGAGCAGAGCAGGCTTTCACCTGGGACCTACATCCATGCTCCCCCACCAGAAGGAAGCTGGAGCAAAGCCCCTGAAGCTCAACAAGGCCAAGTGCAGGTGCTGCCCCTGGGTGCAGGCAATTCCAGGCACAGACACGAGCTGGGAAGAGAATGGATTGAGAGCAGCCCTGAGGAGAAGGACTGGTGGGCGCTGCTGGGTGAGAGGCTGTCCAGGGAACATCTGTGCTCTCAGGCAGCACACAAGCTGTGGAGGGGGCAGAGCCAGGGGAACAGCACTGACAGTGGGGCAGCACGGGCCCCGTCCCACCACTG